TAACAAGAAAAGCAGTAAAATAGATCCCCTGCAGTAAGCAGTGACAGAAACCCTCCCTGAAACAATAGATGTCCCCCAGCAGCAATAGACCCCCCCCAAAAGAATCTCCGGACAAAATACACCACCATCAGCAATACATGCACCCCAGCAACAATAAACCCCCACCAACATCCAGTATCAATAGAACCTCAAGCAACCAACAACAATAGACCCCTTCCTCAACAATTAATCCGACCAGCAACAATAGACCCCATGCAGCAATATATTCTACCCAGCAACAATAGATCCCCCAGCATCTGGCATCAACAGACCCTCCAACACACCCCAGCACCCCTTGCCATTGCATACATTTAGTGATAGAAGTGGCAGAACTGCATTCCCACTGAAAAAAAAAGCCTTGCTGTAGGTCAACAGTTAACCACTTCAATACTGGGCATTTATACCCCCTTCTTGTCCAAGCCAATTTTCAGCTTTCAGTGCTGTCGCACTTTGAATGACAATTGCGCGGTCATGCAACACTGTACTCATATGCAATTTTTATCATATTTTTCACACAAATAGTGCTTTCTTTTGATGGTATTTATTCACCACTGAGTTTTTTTTATTTTTTGCTAAGTAAAACAAAAAACACCTGACACTTTTGAAAAATAAAAAAACGCACTTTTCTCAGTTTCTGTTATATAAAATTTTGCAAATAAATAACATTTTTCTTCATAAATTTAGGTCAAAATGTTTTCTGCTACATTTCCTTGGTGAAAATAATAATAATAATTGAATTTGTATTTTTTTTTCATGTGTTTCTATTTTTTTTTTTTATTTTTTATTACATTTTTTCTTTTTTTTACTATTTTATTTTTCAACACAATGTGACCAAAGCAATATAATGTTACCATAGTAACATTGAACTACTCTGGGCAAGTGATCAGGATTTTTTTTTTTCTTTTTAACACATTATGATTGTTAATATCAATGTATTGATATTTGCAATCATTGTTACTGAATGAAACTGGTTCAGTCAGTCTTTTGTTGTGATTAGCTGTGATTGGGCAAAGCTGATCACATGATACAGATGGGCTGTGAATGGCCCTGTCTGTATCATGTAACTGTTTTGACCAGCCACAGCTAACAACATAATTGTATACAATAGATGGCATGGCAGGAAGCCATCCATTGTATGCAATTGACATGTGATTGCTGTGATTGGTCACAGTGGTCACATGACACAGTGGTCACACAACGGGCCGGTATGTGATATGTCATCGGCTGTGTTCCGTGGATACAGCCGGTGACAGATCACGTGACCGCATTAGCGGCTCATTTTGACAGGATGTCATATGATGCCCAGTCACACCTGTGTGTGTCACGCCCGGCTGTCAATCTGCTATAGGCAGATTTGTGTACTTTTAGTTATATTACCACACCAAATTATGTTTTATTGCTACAAGCATACTTTGAAACAGAGTTGTATGAAATGGAAGTTGCACAAAACAGCAGCATCAACGCAGCAAATACAAATGGTCACTTTAGGTCAGGGGTGTCCAAACTTTTTTCAAAGAGGGCCAGATTGGATGAAGTGAACATGGTGGAGGGGCCGAACATTTTTCCGAACATTCTTTGAACCATTACAATTAAATGCAAATAAATTATTTTATGCCAAGTTAATTGCAAACGACATACTTTTAATTTCATAACATTAAGGTCAACTGACAGCTGAGTTTTCACAATGTATTGAAAATAAATTTTAAAAAAACTTACCTGCACTAATGTGAAGGGTGAAAAAGGTAGCTGGAGCTGAAGTCTCTGCTCGGCAGCCGGGAGGGGAAGAGAAACACGCTTCACGCTGGAAGCCCGGCCCTGACGTCACCGCCCTCTGTCGCTCCCAGCGAGGCGCAGTCACGCATGCGCACTGCTCTCAAGCAGAAGACTGACTGCCACAGAAGGAAGGGCCGTGCGACAGCCGCATTTACACAGACCAGGGAGAACGCGCCGCAGTCAGGCATGCGCACTGCCCTCTGCTCTCAAGCAGAAGACTGTCTGCCATAGAAGGGAGGGCCGTGGGAGGGCCACATTACACAGAGCAGGGGGGGCTGTTGGAGGGCCGTATTAAACTGACCCCCGGGCCGTAAATGGCCCATGGGCCGGACTTTGGACATGCCTGCTTTAGGTTATTGTTAAGTGGTGTCTAAATAGGCCAATGTCAGCCATAGGTAGGATTTTACAATAGCATTAGTCTCTGCCCCATTGGAACGTACATCCTAATATATAAATCACAGTCATGCAACAAAAACAGACACACACACATATGGACCATTTCTTGATAGTTGTAAGTCCAAAAAGAGTAATGCATTACTCCAGCTCCATCCACACCATACTCATTCCCATTACAAGAGTCCATCATAGAGGTACTTGCTAGGCTTGCAAATGAGGGAACTTCAAGAGAACAAGTGGATGGCCACACACTGTAGTAAGGACACTCCGAAAGTATCACAGCTCTGGGATCCAAGGAGATATGTTAACTCTTTTTCATGCTCAGAAGCTCTTGCTCATAATTATGAGTAAGTGCCTCTGAGTCTGAAACCATTAACATATCTCCTTAGATCCCAGTGCTGTTATGTTTTTATTGTGATTTTGCCCCAGTAAAGACTTTCGGAGTGTCCTTACTACAGTTTGTAGCTGTCCACGTGTTCTTTTGACAGTAGACCGTGATAGTAATGTCTATGTTTTTTATATGGGAGCACAGATATATCAACCACTTCAGAATCTAGGACTATGTTGTATGGCCTAGAGCAGGGGTCTCCAAACTGCGGCCCGTGGGCTGGATGTGGCCCTTTTCTTGCCTTTATCTGGCCCTTAGTGCACCATTCCTTCCACTGACACCAACAATGGGGTATTATTTCTCCTTCTGACACCAATGATGGAGCACTGTTCCTTCCACTAAAACTGATGATGGGGCACTATTACACACACTGAAACCAATGATGGGGCACTCTTCCTCCCACTAACCAATGATGGGGCACTATTCCTCCCACTGACACCAATGATGGAGCACTATTCCTCCCATTGACACCAGTGATGTCATTTTTCTACTCCCACTGACCACCAAGCCTATGGCACTGTTTACTCCCACCGATGCCAGTTTGAAGGGCAGTAAATTGGCCCTTTGTTTCAAAATTTTGGAGACCCCTGGCCTAGAGCCCTTCCATGCTGAGCACATACCTCACAGGAAATGCTGTCAGTATGACAGCCTGATTGCTTGTAGCAGAACTCCTATAAAAACAATGTGACTGATTGGCAATAACATGTGTTACTGCTTTTTGCTTGTTAGAATGCAAACAAACAGTGATGCACTGTAGTTGACTGCATCAGAGGCGGGCTGACCATTTGGAAACTCGGGCACTGCCTGATGGCCCGGGGTCAGTAGGAAGCCCCATGAGATGCCCCTGGTAACTTTTTTCATAGGCTTTTTTGAGTTTGGGCAAGGACACAGGGGCCCCATGATCCCCTATTGCCCGGGCGCCCCATGAGTTTTCAGTCCGCCCCTGGACTGCATCATGTACTTTACAGAGTCCCTTATTATCCCTAACCAGCCATAACTGACTCCATCCTCTACCTGCCTTCCTCAGCTAGTATATCAATTACATAAGAATACAATTTTTTTTGTTTTTATATTTCATATGTTAATTTTTTGTCTAGTGTAAGCTTTAATAAAAATAGAAAAAAATACCTTATTTTCATTTGTGACTACCTAATTGTGCTTTGTACTAGAAACAGTTTTGTGTCATGATAAACAGGACAATTAGCAGAATAAAATTAGAACTTTCTGCTGTAGCACATATTTCCGACTTACTACTTGAAAAAATGAAAATATCCACATTTTTCTGTGTTTTTCTTCTTAGTGCCTTAAAAGTATAGGATGATGTTAATTAAAATGTACTGTCAGCTTTTAACTACATTCCTGCAGCTGCACTAGAGGAATCTATCAATAGAAGATCCCTACAGCACTTGTCTTCATAGACTATATCAGCGGGTGATCACCCCTGTGTTTCTTTCATTCTACGAGTGTTTACATTCCTATTCACTCAAGTGGAAACATTTTTCACTAAGCGGGAACCTCTGTTACTATTTATTTACATTGTTGCCATTCACTCTGGTGAGCACATTTACCTCCTTTTACACAATTCTACTTAAAAAGCAGTAATAAACCCCGAACCAACCACTTGCCCTCTAGAGGAATTACCTCCCTACCTGAGCAGACCATTTTTTTTTTTCAATACGGCATTACTTTAACTGGCAATTGCACGGTCATGCCATGCTGTACCCAAATTAAATTTATGTCCATTTTGTTCCCACAAATAGAGCTTTCTTTCAGTGGTATTTGATTGCCTCTGCATTTTTAATTGTTTGCACTATAAACTAAAAAAAAAACGACCATTTTGAAAAAAAGAAAGAGCGGCCATTCTGACACTGGGGGGAACTGACTTGGTGTCACTGACATCCCCAGTGACACCAATACAGTGATTAGTGCTAATAAAAAGCACTGACACTGTACTAATGGCACTGGGCAGGAAGGGGAAACCAAAGGGTTAACTGTGTGCTGTATGCTCTTTTACTGTGTGCTGTGTGTGTGCTTAACACTTTAAGCACACTGCTTTGTATGGCTCTGCTATGCTATAACGTTTTGTAAATAAGTGATCTTTCTCCTTCACTGATTTGCACTAATGAGGCTTCTCTGATAGGCACTGATAGACTGCACTGATGGACACTGATGAGGCTGCACAGATGGGCACTGATGAAGAGGTTCTGATGAGGCTGCACTGATATGTGGCACTGACGGGCACTGATATGCAGCACTGGTAAGTGGCACAAACAGGCATTGATAGTCAGCACTGATGGGCACTGATAGGCGGCATTGATGGGCAGCACTGACAGGCACTTACAGTCATCACTGATGGGCACTGATTGCCACCTCTGATAGGCACTGACAGCCAGCACTGAGGAGGCACTGATAGCCAGCACTGATGGGCACTGATAGCAAGCACTGATGGGAACTGATAGCCAGCACTGATGGGCACTGATAGCAGGCACGGATACAAAGCACTATTGGGCACTAACAGCAAGCACTGATGGGCACTATTATCCAGCATTGGTGGACACTATTAGCCAGCACTGATGGGCACTGATGTGGCTGCACTGATAATCAGGGGACTGAATTCAGTGCCCTAATGATCAGTGTAAATATCCCCTCTGAGGAATGCCACTTATCAGCTCTCCTCTTCTCACAGGCTGTCAGCATGAGGAGAGGACTGCCTATAACCGACATTTCCTATTTACACTATGCTCAGTTGTGGTTGGACACAGCTGATCACATGGCAAAAGTTCACTGTGACTGACCCTCGATCCATGATTAGCTGTGTCCTAAGGACATAGGGGGTGTGGTTCTGGGAGGATGTCCATGGATGCCCCCCCCAGAACTAGCTGACCACCCTGTAGCCATCTTTTGGCTTGCGGTCAGGAACTGGTTAAATACTTGAAAATTTCCTTTTGCCTGGCAGCAGTCACTATGGGTAACATATACTCTGGTTAACAATATGTGCACCCCGATGAAAGCCGTAAATGCCTGCCCAACACACCCAATGTAAAAAAAAATAAAAAAGCTGTGAATGGTATAGGAAGAACAGTACAAGGAGCCTGCAGCTTTGGTGTGGCTCGGTGTCTGTTCTGGACACAGAAGTGTCCTAAGTCAGTTAGTCAACTTTCTGAAGATAGTTGCTCATGGCACCGATATTGCATGAGAGACCCAGAAAAATAAGAGATTTACAATGACTCACTTAGCAACATTTGAAAGTACAGCTCAAAATATAGCTGTCACAAGTGGTACATTCAGACTTCAGAGGCTCCTCTATGTATATTGGACAACAGAATTACAAGCAACACTACAAGGACTAAGACCATGGAGGCGAAGCATGATGGTCAGTCTAAGATTTTATAAATCTTTTCCAAGCAATTTTTGCACAATGATATATACTTTTACCCTATAAATGTATAGATTTTTTATGCTTTGTTATTAATTTTTTTTTATAGTAATATAAAATGATATGAAAGAAATTGTATAGACTATAATCTGGTAACAGCATGTACAACCTGGTTCCTACAAAATTACTTTTTAATACATTTCATCTAACTGCATGAGGCTCACCTGCTCTATTACTACTTTGAATTTTAATTCAAGAATAAATTGCCTGTTCTCTAATATCATATACAGTCCTTGAATTACCATTAGTTCTTCTTGAGTGAGAATGCTATGTGAGGCCACTGGGACTTTCCCTTCTTAGAGCTGAACTCCTGAGTGTAGAGTGGTAGCAGTTCTAAATTAATCTGGGTCACAGGAATGATTAGCCTGTGCAAATAGCAAGTATACCATCGGAATTCCTGAACAGCTAATCAGATTCATATGTTACTGAACTGTAGACCTTAGAATTAAATCTGGACAAGATTGGAAAACAAATGCAAGCAATATCTTGTAATAAAATGAATAATGTGAATAACACCAGCTAGTTGTAATAAAGAAGGATCTACCCCCATACAGCTAGTATTCGTCCATATTTAATGCCTTCTATAATTCATATGGATCTTATTGTCTGTTAATATTAATATCGGAAAGCAAGGCTCAAACCCAAGAGCATAGTACATGTGTAATGCACATTGCTCATAGAGTATGCACTGTGGAGAATTAAAGGCTGCAAGGTACTGCTTTATGATAAATAGGTGAGATATCTGAGAATGGGCAAATTATTTATTATTCCAAGACATTGCCATGGTAAATTATACAGTTCCTGAAGTTTCTTCAGGCATGTTATACCGTACAAACACCTAGGACTGAATGACTGAGATCTATGCTGCCCAATGACTTTAATGACGTGGAGGATGCAGTTTTTGAAAAATAAAAGGCTATGAAGTACATTGATATAATACGAAAATGTGACTTGTAATAGGTACCATCTTCTATGTTCCTATTAAGATATCTGCATAAGGAAAATGTTATTAAAATATATGAAATAGATAATAGTGTATGTAGAACATGGGAAAAATCAGAGCACTCTACAGTTATGTATCACTTCATATCTAATAACTTATCATCTAAATGACTATACCAGCATATTAGGCTTATAAGTGTCCTTGACAGTACCATGACAACCAGGATAGATTTAGACCTGAATGCAAACATTGCAGCAAAAGCTGTTTTTTTTTTAAAAAGGAATATTTATTTTTATTCTATCCACTTTGGATAGGGTAAAGAAGGATAACCTCTGTCAGTTCTTTTTCTTGCCATACACATCCTAAAACTAGAAGTGTGGAGAAAGCCCTCCAAAGTGAGGGAATCTCTGATTGTCACTAGGACTAGTGTTGCCATTGAAAAATACCCCCTCTATTCCTGCTCTGGGGACAATTCAAAATTTGGAATTTTCTTATTTTCGGTGATAACAATAAACAACACATATAGAGAAGTTCAAATGTGTTCAAATCCCTCTCCACTCTAAATTAAAAAAAGTGTTGCATTTAGTTATAGATTAGGTGGCCAGAAAGTTTAGGAGACCAGCTTCAAACAGCTTTTTAAATCCTTCTTTTTTTAAAAAAAATTTCACCAAAGAGTACAACAACAAAGTGTTTCTTTGTTTTGGATTTAGATCTAGATGCACATCCCTAATGGGTAAAACAGGGATCCTTATGGCAAAACTATCTCCCACCTTTGCAGCATGCATATTTTATTCTGGGGCATTATTTGGTCCCCTTGGAATGTTGTGCACGAAGGCATAGTCCACCTTTTGCCAAAAAAAATTTCCATGCTGATTAATGAAAAAGTGCAACTGCAATCAGTGCACCATGGGTACAATGCGCAAATTACTGCAGACTATACCTCCCATTGCAAGTCTGTACTGAGGTATGTAACCTCAATTATGAGGCTTGAGAAAGCATCATAGGACTACAAGTGCAGTGAGGTCAATGCATTTCTGTTCCATTGAAAATGACAAGTTCCTCTGCCATGGTGGAAGATAGGACTTGTAGTTTTTTATGTCACAGATCTCTGTAAATGGATGATATTACAGTATGGGCAGAGCCACACATAGCTGCACTTTATTTAAATAATGACAGGAGCCATCGGGGGAAAAAAAATGCAGATTCCCCTGGATTTGTAAGAGAGAACATGGTCAGGAAGATGGAGTTCTCTTTTAGGTGTAGGGTGCCTAGTCAAAGGGTTGGAGTTTCAGGGATCACACTATTGGCATATTTATGTGCCCAGCATTTCATGTTTGCTAATAAGAGCAACTTCACTTTTACAGCTATTGCAAGAACAGTGACATTTCTGAAATATTATACAGCTTTGCTGTACGTTGTATTGGACTCATTGCTGTGCTGGTCCTAAGGCCTGACACTTTCATATATTTTCACGAGACTTAATTAACCCAAATTGCTTTTGGTGTGCAGGTAACAAATTATTATGCGAGAGCCTGTTATGTGTCACTCCTTATATCTTTCAATTTTCATGCTAAAGAAATGTTCTCTGATAGGAAAGGACTGTGAAATCATGTTTTGTTCTTGGATATTATCAAGTGACTAAATATTCGTAACAGCTTTTGTAATCCAGAAATTGATTTTGGAACAATGTTAAACACTGTTCCCTGGAGAAGTATGCATATTTGATTATCTTTCAGTAAAGCTCCACTCTCTGCTGGTCAGCAGCTACAGTACACAAGAAGAGATATGAATTTCACGAAGAAACTTTTGTCTCCCTTAATGAGTTTATTTAGTCACTTATGAAGAATCTTAGCATTAAGTCACTACACTGAAAAGGCATACACTGTATGAAATGCTGTAATTGGTAAATGAGGGAAAGATAATAATGTATAAATTCTTCCTGAAGGTGTTTACTGAGTCAAATACAAAAACAGAAAAAGCATTAAAATGTTTTATCATAGTTGCAAAGAAAAAAAAAAAAATTAGCATTGCTAATAAGTATTTATTATCCAAGTCATGTGGCATGGTGTTGGCAATAATGCTAGCCTGTAGGGTTGTAGTTCCGCAAGGCCACTATGAGAACAAGAAGTGGAAATAAAATAGATTTTATGACCATTCCAGTAGTTGCATGTACAAGCACTCTTGACAAAATGTCAATAAGCATTGCCTGGTACAGTGCTCTACAGTGATTTCCCTTCCAATCATTTCACCAAAATCAAGTAAAGCATTCTTCTGAGCAATTGAGAAATTCAGATTTGTGTCTGGTGTCTGCATACAGCACAGTATATGCCAAACTATGAGAATAGCTGAAAAAAGTGGGTCACAATTGCTGTCGATATCTTATTGCTGAGTTGAAAAATGTCCAGTCTAAAATGAGGTCCACAAACAAGAAAAATGAAGCCTGCATAAATCAGTGGTCTCCTTTACAAATGACTGAAGCAAAATGAATAGCCATGTTAGCATGTAAATTATGGCAATGCTGTAATATTAGAGCTCTATTGATAAGTGTGTATTGTGCAAATTAGGAAGTTTTTATTTCAATTTAGATTTAAATCTCTATTTCTGATTAAGTTGCCACACCCCCAACTGCACATACCAACCTTCCTGTTGTCCTCCACTGAATGAATGAATGAATGAATGAATGAAATTGTGAATTATTGCCTCACAAAAATTGCAGCAAAAATTAGGACATTTCAGACATTTCAGTGAAATTTTGTTATTAGGGATTGGACATTAATGTATTTTAGGTGCTTTTTAATGTAATGTGCTTTAAATGGCTCATGAATGGTAGAGACACTTCTTTCAACTAACCTTGGCCTGTTCCTGCATCAACCAAACATTCCTTCATTACCTAAGAACATGACCTCATGGGGTTGATCTACTAAAGACAAATGGGCTGTTAATTCTGCAAGGGAATGTGTAATAGAACTTAGTAAATGAAGTGAAGCTTTGCAGAAATGCTGTTTTTTTTACTTGCACCTTATTGGGTATTCTTTACAAAGTTAATCTTCACCACAGCTCTGGGATACATTATCTTACAAAGTACAACATCAGTTT